TTGCTGTTCATCACTGAAGAAAGTCAGTATAGGAACTCAAACAGGGGAGGAACCTGGAGGTAGGAGCTGATGCAGAGAACATGGAGGGGGTGCTGCTTACTGGCTTGCTCCCTTGGCTTGCTCAACCTGCTTTCTTATAGAATACAGGACCACCAGCCCAGGGATGGTACCACCCACCATGAGCTGGGCCCTCCCCTATTGATCACTAATTGCAAAAATGCCTTACAGCTGGATCTCATGGAGGCATTTCCTCAACAGAGGCTCCGTCCTCTCTGATGACTCCAGCTTGTGTCAAGTTGACCCACAGAACCAGCCACACTGCTGAGGATGTAGTGTGACCTGTCGCTCCACATCCCCACTGCCATGCTTTCCCTGCTGTATATTCACTCATACTATGAGCTGAAGCAAAGCCTTCCTCCCTTAAGTCATAGCAACGTGAAAACTAAGACTCCTTCCCTCCAACAGGGAGATCACTCCATTTCATGGCAATTGCTTGTGTAACTGTGTTACCTCCAAATGCATGAGAGAGAAAGCATGTTAGCTTTACCTACCACTGTAACTCTAGCATCTAACCTCTGCCTGGTACCTAGGAGATGCCATATATATATATATATATATATATATATATATATATATATATATATATATATGTGTGTGTGTGTGTGTGTGTGTGTGTGTGTGTGTGTGTGTGTGTGTGTGTGTATATACATACATGTATATATATGCTGAATGAATAAGTAACTTAGCAGATAAACTAACCTAAGAGATTGTTGTAATCACCTTCACTTTATAGGTAATGATTTAACTTGCAAACCTGACTGTGCTCATGACTATTTCTCTACTTGCAATTGAAGGCATGGATTTTATCATCTATTATGAGTAAGGAAACTTACACTGAAAGATGAAGTAATTTTCTTCAAAAGACCAACGTCATATGACTAGTAGATAACAAGTCAAGACTGAGGTCCTTGCTAATCTAATCTAAATTCCATTTCCTTTCCAAGATACTTTGGAGTGTCTTGTTTGTGTAACAGCATTTGGGAAGTGCACAGCTTCAGGAGATGCAATTCTCCAAGAATACACTGTGAGCAGCACTTTTGGAGATTATCCAAATAGCGGTCCTGGGCCTCTTACTCCTGCATCTCCGGGTCAGGTATAATCCCCACTGCTGAGAACCTGGGCTGTATTAAGTTCTACTCTGCTATCTAGATATGATTCACATTCCAATTAAAATTCTATCTGGATACACAGCTGAGTCCTTCCAGTGTACTCCCCTTCTCCAAACTTCCTTTTAACTGAAAATTGGATTGAAAAACAGCATCAGAAAGGAAGAACAGGAAGTCTCTGTTTTACTGGAAGACTATGTTCTCAAAGGTTATCCTAGCTGTTTTTGTGTGTTTTTTAATTTAGAATTTTTTCCTTTCCGCTAAAAATATAAAAGCTTATAAGGAGTAAATAGGTTTCCAAGTTAGAGCACAGGAGGTCATTTAACACATAGGCTGCATGAATGTCAATAAAAGCATCCTTTTATCCAGGCTTGTCAACAGTGGATAGAATGGTTTCCTACGAGGGGGAGAGACCCAGAAGCTATTTGGAAACTTTCTACTCCAACGTGGCTGGAGAAGCTGAATAAAGTCTAAGCAGAGTTGCTGGATGGTGGAGGTGCATGCCTTCAATCCCAGCACTCTGGAGGCAGAAGCAGGCAGATCTCTGAGTTCGAGGCCAGCCTGGTCTGCAGAGCGAGTTCCAGGATGGCCAGAGCTACACGGAGAAACTTTGTCTTGGAAAAAGAAAAAGTTTCAGCAGAGAATATACTCTGTATAGAGCTACTATCAGAGAGAGGCTTACCCCTGACTTCTCTGAGGTCCACAGCATAGTTTCTCAAAGACAGTCTCCATAATATAATTGTCAGGGCCTCTGGGGTGTTACTCAGCGGTGAAGTGCTTTTACATTATGTGTGAAAGCCTGGCTTTCACTTCCAACATTACAAAGAAATAACAAAGAAATGTAATTGACCACACACCCAGAGCACTGCATGGCATGTCAATATCTAATTATCTAAGATTACATTTTGTATCAAAATATATCCATTTGACATGGGGGATGTGTGAAAATTTCATATGGATTTATCTTTTGAAGTTCATTTCCCTTGTAGGTCAGAAAGATATCCAAAGCATACTAAATCTAAAATAAAGATTAATTCCCTCCTTAAACTCCTAGCACTCTGGAAAAAAATCTCCTCTTTCTTAAACCCTTCCCTTTGCATAAATGCTACATTATCCACTTTGTTCAAGCCCAAACTGGAAAATTCGTCACTAATTGTTATTTGCCTTCGTCACTTACCCTTCACATCAAAACAATAACAAAGTTTTGTTTCTTCTGCATTACTTCAACTTCAACATGGCCAACTTAGATTATTAATATTACCGGCATCACTGTTTCTCATCTAGATCATTAGAACAGCTTCTTCACTGGTCCATGGTTATTGTCACCCCCACCCTCCCTGCAGTGTTCTTGACATTTCCTGATGCTCTAGTTTAGTGATGATCGTTGGAATCTCGGTTCATAAAGCCAATGGGTATAGTCCTGACTCGTTACTTTCAGGTCCCAGGGGCAGGCACTGGGCTACATATTTGGACATAGGTAACTTGGGCGCTGAAGCTGTTAACTCAACTGATGAAATGCTTCCCTAGCATGCACAAAGCCCTAGGTTCCATCCCTAACACAGCACGAACTGAGTGTGGTGGCCCAAGCTTGTAGTTCCATGTACTCTGGAGGTAGGGCAGAAGGATTAGAAGTTCAAGGGAGTCTGAAGCCAACCTGGCCTAGAGACTTGTCTATAAATAAGTAAATAAAATGTATAATTTAAACACACCATTGCATTCAAATGTAAAATCATCTTCTAAACGCAATTTGACTACTGTCTTAGTTAGGGTTTCTAACGCTGTGAAGAGACACCATGACCATGGCAACTCTTATAAAAAGAAACATTTAACTGTAGCTAGCTTACAGTTTCAGACATTTAGTCCATCATCATCATGGCAAGCCATGGCAGCATGCAGGCAGACATGGTGCTAGAGAAGGAGCTGAGAGTTCTACATCTTGATCCACAGGCAGCAGAGGAGACTGTGTGTCACACTGAGCATAGCTTAAGCATAAGAGACCTCAAAGCCTGCCTCCACAGTGACATACTTCCTCCAACAAGGCCACACCTCCTAATAGTGCCACTCCTTATGAGCCAAGCATTCAAACACATGAGTATATGGGGGCCATACCTATGCAAACCACCACAACTACTATACTCAACTTTTGTAAGACTGTTTAGGAGAACCTGGTGAATAAGCATGTTATAGTCAGAGAGCATTTGACTGGCAAGTCTCCAAGAAGATTCTATGGAGCACACTGCCAGCTCACTATCTATTCTATTTTTTCCAAAGCCTGGTTCTTATTTATAATTCTTCCTTTTCCATTCTGATCCCTATGCCAGGACCCTTCAGACAGGGCTCTTCAGACAAGACCCTTGACCCAGAATCTAGGCTCCCAACCTTATTTCTAATGTATCTCTGTGCTCCATTCATCCAGCTCAACATGCAGAAAAGGAGAAAAACTAGGTGGTTTCTTTAATTTCCAGCAACCCAATTTTCACCAAGTCTTATTAAATTAACAATCACTGGACTCCCGAGATATGTTCATATTTATAAAGATGGAAATTTTTATAGTTAAGGAAATCTTGAAAGCTGTAATGTCTCCAACAGTGTGTGGTGTTTGGGGAGAAGGAAAATTCATCTATGCAGCTCCACTCTGTTTAGTAATCTGACCTGGAATTACCTGTGTTTTTCCATTTATCTTCTGTACCAAGGTGCTATGCTGTCTGTCTATAGCCTGTTTCCTACATTTTCAGAAGTGAAATATAGTTTGAGCTACACTGTAGGAACAATCACTTGCCTATACCAGCTGTTCACAGGCCAAATGTCAGCAAATAGTTAGTTTAAAAGACTGAATTTCATGAAAAATGGCAGCCAAAACCTAACTGTGGTCTGTGCCCATGACACAGCGGCTTTGTATTCAGTGTGAGGAGCACTAAAAACAGCTTTTACTGGCTGGAATATTGGAATTTTCATTATCTTAATAGATACTTACCATGGGTGGCTGTCACAAGGACTTTGGTGAAAACTGGTTTTGAAAACATCTGGATGATCTGTAATATTCTAGAGTTATACACTTCACCTAAAATAAAATATAAATAAATATAAATATATAAATATAAATGAAATATAAGGATACAGTGAGGCCTATAGCCTGTACCATGATGAACAGAGGCTAAGGCTTGCTCTTCAAGTGCCACCATATGAAACCACGTTCATTTGTTTTAAAATTCCCAGTTGCCTAATGTCAATTAGAATATTATCACAGGGCAAAAACATTCCAAAGGACAGAGGCTGCATCTTGAAGGAGTTTACAGAACAGATTTTCTGAGCTCCAGTGTTTGCTCGTGGCTGTTCATGTACTGCAGTGGATGTGGACATTGAATACAGAAGTTTGTTTACATTTTTTTCTTTCATTATAATCTTGGATTACAGTGATGCGGTTCATTTCAATTGCTTTCTGACCACTAGCCTCTATCATCTGTGACTGGCTTATAAACATTGTCTGCCCATCCATACACCCCAGCAAAGTCACAGCAACAGTGCTCTAGGGCACCAGCACCTACTGTAGTAGGCTAGAAGGTCATATGATTATGAGTCCACAGGGACTTGTCTGTGAAGGGACAGTAATTGAGACACCAAGTGAAGGGAGTAGAAGGAGAGCGGGGGCAGGTGAAAGCAGAGGGCAGAGCAGAGCTGGGAAGGAGACCAATGTGGGTAAAGTTTGATTTAGGATAAGCTTTCTATGTGGCCAGAGTACAGAATGCTGCTAAGCTGGGAGCAAATTACACAAAAGAAAATAGCTATGAGACTGGAAGAATGCTGGACCAGACCACACACAAGGCACAGGTTCGAGCAGCCATCCCTGACTGGGGAATGTTAGTGGCATCTCTGTATGCAGTGGCTGTTCCTTCCGAAAGAGGAAATTTAGGCTACTGTGTGTTTTAACACACACACCCTTACACTCACGTGTAGATCACTGGCAGAGAGCATGCACATGAGTACCTGCCAATCATACACAGAAGTATGAATCCTCCCTGCTTGTGCAATAACACAGAGCTCCATCAAAGCTTGAAACTGTCGAATCGATCCCCTCCACCCTCTCCCTACCATCCTGCATTCTCCATCCATCATCCCACAGCAAGATTTTCGCATTCTGAGACAGGCAGGTAAGCGGAGCATGTATTTTCTTAGCTTTTGCAATTATTTCTGTATTTCAGCTCTATTAAATAATCACTCTTTCTTTGGCAGTCAAGGATCAGAATCTGCAGGGGTGAGATGGGGACTGTGAATTCATAACAAGTCCCTCAAATATCTTGACAATCATGAAGTTTAGAATCAGAGGCTTCAGGGAGCACCTGGAACATCTCTGAAAGATGTGGGACTGAGTTAACCAACCTTCTCTCTTATGAGAGAGAAAGGGGGCTTGGTCGTGCTTGGATGTGTCCTGTGGGCCTCTGAAAGCAAGCTAAGGACAGCACCATGCAGTCCCATTTGCCAAAGGAGAAGATGAGAGCGAGGAGGGAGGTGAGAGGAAGGGGGGCGGGAGTTGGACAGTGGGAGGAAGACAGAATGCGTGGGGGAAAGCGTAAACAGTTCTATTTATTCCTGTCAGCTCCTAACAGCACACTTGCTTTGCACAGGAGGGTGATTCAAGGGAAACTTGGACACGTGAATTTAAGTTTTACTTAAATTGGGATGGCAGACCCTGGAAGATAGCTGGAAAATACTGTTGATCACAAATGGCTATGCTTGTGAGTACTGCATTCAAACCCAAACATTTGCCATCAAATATTTCAGCAATTTTTTTAATTCAAAAACAGCAGGAATGGGGGTTATATCTCAGTGGTACAGTGCTTCTGTACTTGCTTCTGTACAATCCTCTACCGAAAAAGAAATCAGATGCAAAAATTAACTCCGTGTTTTATAAATACCCTATCAGCCTTAATAACAAACACAACCAAAACTTTTACCATCGGTGAAACCGAGAGGGATATTTCTGCACATGGAAGAAGAGGAGCATATGAGACTTTGTATTAGGGGCTTGTCTCTTCAGCTAGCCACAGGGCACTGACCAGGATGTCACAGATTGGGGGAAATACATGAGATGGGAACTTTCTGGTAATCAGTAGCAGTGTCCAATTAGAGTGCAGATGTCTATGCTTCAGAATGGTCCTGCTACAAACAGACAAGGAAATGTTTCCTGTGCAGAGGTTGAACTGGGAAGCATAAGGTATAGGAAGGATGAAGGGAAGAGGAAGCAGGTGTCTTGGTTCTGCTAAAAGAAGAAAGGAGACTCGGGAGTCTCATGTGTCACATTCAGAGGTATGGACACTGGTAGAACGTTGCAGGGTGTGGAAGGCATCCACTTTCAATCCATGAGAAAAACATTCCTGGCATAAGAATTATTACAGTCTACTTGCTGCTTAATGAACTGCAGATAATGTGTGTGCACGTACCTGTGTGGGCATATGCAAAATCTATTAAGTTATATAGCACTTGGTAGTTCATTGACAACAAATAATAAAGAGAGTCTGTGATGTAGGCGGGCATAATTATCTCCATTTAACAAACAAAAACCTGAAGCCCTGAGAGATTAGTGACTTGCTTAACAACACAAAACAATGGGGCTTAAGTCAAGGTTAAGACCAGCTCTCTTCACTCTTAGTCTTGTATTTTTCTACAAATCCATACTTTTGACTCAGTAGTGAACTAATAAACTATACTAAACCTTTTTAAATTTGGGGTATCAGCAAAGGACTGGAAGATCACATTATTCATGCCGCAGCTTAGATATGGTTTGTCCCCTAAAAGTTCGTGTGTTGTAAAACTGGTGACCAATGTAGGAACATTGAGAGGTAGTGGGAACAATCAGAAATGGACCTAAGTGGGAGGTGTCTTGGTCATGGAGGCACCACATCTTGAAAGGGTTGTTGTGTCTTTCTCCAGAGACTGGGTCAGTTTCCTCAAGACTCAATTATGCCTGGCAGGAGCAAGTTAGGTCTCCCAGGACTGGATTAGTTACAAGAAATGGTCATTATTGTATTGCATTACAAGTGGGCCAGCTTTCCTTTGTCTCTCACACACGCTGTCCCTTCTCTCATGCCCAGCCCTCTTTCTACTCCTCTGCCATCACATGATGCAGAGGGACATGGTCCCTTCCCAGAAGTAGAAGCAGAAGCCTGCCTTCAGTCTGCTAGCTAAAGTAAACTTCATCTTTTTATAATTTACCCAGTGTAGTATTACATCATAGCAACACAAACTAAGGCATCCCAGGAACCAACGCACAGGGAATATTTGAGATTTCCTGGCTACACAGCGGGAGGAGGGCCTCCATGCTGCCATACTTTCGTGCATGCTGCTCCTCTGCCTGGAACGTCTTCAATCCTAAACTTCTTTCCGGTCCTCTCCACATCCCCATTTGACAGCCATCATGTCTTCCAAGACGCCTTCTTAGATCTCCAGTGCTGGGAATATGCCCTCCCTTTATATTCTAGTAACTCCTAGGGCTCAGGTTCGTCACAGCATATACACAATGTTGTAAATGGCTGTTTAGGGCTCCTATCTTTCCCTAGGTACAGCCTGAGCTCCTAGAGACAGGAAATGTGCCTCGTTACTGATATCCTCTAATCTTGGTATAAGCCTTGGCACATATTCCATATTCAAAAATTGTTCTTAGTTTGAATTTTCTGCGTAACGTTTGCTGGAGGAATGGCATGCAAGCGACCAAGGCTAGAAATGAGATCTGCCTCCCACAGACAGGATCCCTGCACCTTGCACCAATCCTCTCTACTAAGCGCTAATCTCCTGAGTATGATTCATCACCAGAGCAACTGCCTGAGAACGCTGTGCCCTTCTCTCAACGGAGCCATAATAAAGGTTAGTTTACTTTAAGCAAATGGTGTTTTCTTTCCTCCCTTCTATTTTTTTTTCACTAGCTATTTTTTTTCCTTCTATTTACTTACCCAGTGGTGGTAAGAAAAGAAAAATGACTCCAATTTCTATTTAGATATTTGATATGCAGCATGTTTAGATAAGGAGAGCTATAAATTGCCAGGCAGGCACCATTTGGATACCCAAATTGAGTTCCTTCTATTTTAGATTTCAATATAGCGAAGAAAAGGAGTGTGCAGGAAGAATTGCATACCACATACAGGTGGATATATAGATATAATTTGAGGGTTTAAACCTAAAACTGTATTATTTCCAATCCAGTGTTTGAGTTCATGATCAGCACTATACATTGAAAGGAACGTACCTGGCATCACCAAAAACGGCAAATGGCAGCAGTCTCAGAATTCAATGCAGACAGCACTGTTTGAGCCCTGGTTCTGACCCAACCACAAACTGGCTAAGAGAACCTAAGAGAAGCGTCAGTTGCTCTGGACCTCTGTTCTGTCACTTGTAAAAGGAGTTAGGCATGGGTAAGATGTGAAAAGTCCAAGCCCACTTACTTCTACAAGGAGTTGCTTTAGTATGCCTGTGTGGTTTGCTTTGCACTGAGGGTGAATCATATGTCCAGTGGGCTATCCCATCTCTGTTGGAGATACATGCTCTCCCTACCTGAAAATGTGTCCATTTTGTTTCCCATGTACCTATTCTGGAGACCTTTGGTTTTGTTTGTTTGTTTGTTTTTGTTTTTGTTTTTTCCTTCATGAAACTGAATATTTACATTTCACAAAAACTCCAATTTAATCTGTTTTCAGCAATTTCTCAGCCATGAATAAACCTGCTACACTCTGAACATCACCTTGGCGAATGGGTAAATAAGATACTGCTGCTTGAAAGATGATCCCTTGGATTAATTGTATTTCTTGGCGCATTTAAAATATTTGGTTCTCAAAATGGGTTTCATTTGAGACATTTGATTTTGATGCAAATATGGGCAAACACATGAAATTCAGCCAAACTCTGACTTCCCAGGTTCCTCAGAAATTCCCGTTCTCAGCTGACAGATAGGCTGTACACACATCGAGACCCAAATAGACATCAGGTACCTCATAAGCTTCGCTTCCCTTCACGCCCAGATTCATTGCTCAGTAATGGTCTTTGACCTCCCATTGTCGTCAGAGTAGAGTTCAACTTCTCAGCTCTTCTTCTCTCCATCGTTAGCTCTCAACCTCCAGATAGCACTTCCCATGATGCTTTGTGTTGCATTGAACTAACCCAGGCCCGATCCTTTCTTTGTATACTCTGTGCTTTCCCTGCCCCCATCGTTCATATCGTCCCTTGCCCGGGTGCCTCTAGCTCTTCACTTTGCAGACAGTTAGATGGCATGATGTGCATCACCATGTCAGTCCAGTTTCTGGGATAGCTTGCAGTAAATCACGGACCTTGGTTTCCTCACTCGTTCATGTTTTGTTCATTCACTCCTGGATGACTTGGTTGACCAAGTGTGGTTGTAGTTACACAGAGGAAACTTCGAGCAGAATAGCTGTAGAATTTGTAGGTACAGTACAAAATGTAAGTTTAGGCTTTTTGAAAAAAAAATAATTTCATGACAGTTTTGGTACACATTATAAGCACAGGACTCTGATAAGTACAGAGATAAGTACAAAGATTGTATACCTTGGCTCAGGGAAGCCCATGGTTGTGACATGGATAAGTAAAAACCACCTCTATGTGATACTAAGTGCTGTGACATGCATAAGCAGAGGATGCTGGGGAAGTGGGCGTGGTTAAGAATGGCTCAACCTTTGCTAGAAAATGGAGGGTGGAAGGTGGCGAGAAAATCTTAAGAAGGAAGTAGCACCTAAATTCACTTGCACACTTCAAAATGAAGTGTGAAAATGTGGGGGGAAGAAAAGAGTAAGAATAAATCAAAACATGAAACAACGCAAAAAAAAAAAAAAAAAAAAAAGAGGGGAAAAAAGGAGCTGAACACAATGTCCAAATTACGAATATCCTTGAAGACTCTCAAACACTTTTGACAATGAATCACAGAAATAAGTGTATGCTTTGACCTAATACACGCATTGAAACAGAGCTTCACCAAAACACATATGGTTTATTTGCTCTTTCATAGTGTTACCTAAGTTTATAACCCATAATATGAATGGCCCTGTTTTCAGGACTACCTGAAGTGCTACCTTCTTGCCAGGTCTCCCTAATCCTTTCAGACTTAAGCCACCTGGATTCCTGGGTGCGTTTCTGCTGGCATCTAGATTCTGGTGTCTGTGTCATGCCTTATATCACTTAATGATGCTATAACTTGAAGGCAACCTCAGGTGCTTGGTGCCTACCAGGCTCTGCTAAATGCTGTAAGCAGTCTGTTGTCTTCCTCAGTCTTTACATCCACCACTGGCCTGCTCTGGCCTGTCATTTCTCACCAGTTTAACTACCTCATTCTTGCTAATGAGTTCAAGGAGAATCCTTGGTCTCAAATGACTAGATCTTTTCCCACAGGATAGGATGGTACATGGCACACAGGCACACACCCATGAGGGAAAGGAGGCAGGATGGAGGCCAGCTTGAGCTATAAGGAAAAATTTTATCTAAAAAAAAAAAAAAAAAAGAAAGAAAGAAAGAAACAATCAAGCTCTAGGTATACCTCAGTACTGAAGTGCACTCTCACTTCAACCTGGGAGAGGGAAAATCAGTTTTCTCCAATGGAATGATACTGGGTATGTCAACCACTCCAGGACAGGCCTCGTAAGTGAACTCCACAATTTGTGTGTGTGTGTATAGGTGGACGTTTCTGTCCCACCAACAACTCCCAAATACCCGGCAGCCGTTTCCCAATTAACTGACCAGAGGCTTAATATTACTTATAAATGCTCAGCAGGTAGCTCAGGCTTATTACTAACTAGATCTTACACTTAAATTAACCCATAATTCTTATCTATGTTTAGCCACATGGCTTAGTAGCTTTTCTCAGTGTGACATTCTTATCTTGCTTCCTCTGTGTCTGGCCGGTGACTCCTGACTCCCCCCTCTCCTTCCCAGCATCCTTAGTTTGGCTTTCCCACCTAACTTCCTGCCTAGCTACTGGCCTGTCAGCTCTTTATTAACCAATGACAGTAATACATATTCATAGTGTAGAAAAGGATTGTTCCACGGCATGTGTATGCTTTTAATTTGGTTAGAGTTTGGTGGGGTTTTTCTGTTTTGTTTTTTAAGATGTAGTTTTATTTTGTTTTCTTGTTTGGGGGTTGTTTTATTGAGTGTTTGTTTGTTTGTTGTTTTGAGAAAGAACTCAAAGTTTGTTGAGGGAGGCGAGGATTTGGAAGGACTTGGAGAAGGGGAAGAATATGATCAAAACATATTTAAATTTAAAATTTAAAAACTAAGCTTGGGGTGTACCTAGTGCTAAAGTACTTGCCTAGGATGTGCAAGGCCCTTGTCCTTGTCCTCAGTGCCACAAGCAGCAACAAAATAGACCCCTTTCCTTGATACATTCTGGAATTAATATCAAACCATTCTGATTCTTTGTGATCTTCTCTGTGCTTTCTGGTAGTCTAACATCAAATTCTAGTCATATATTCCCAAAATCTCACACTGTCAAATCAGTCTGTAGAACAGGCCTTAAATAAAGATAAATTGCTCTGACCATGAGTTTGCAGGTCTTTTCATACTTCAGTGGTGGAGAAGGATTTAGGCTATTTTTTGTAACCACTGTATTGCTGGAACTTTCACATGTATTTTATTATAAAGACTTTAAGTATACCTGTGAACCAAGAATCCCTGTTATTACCAGTTCCCATCTGATAAATGATCACAGACTTCAGTGTGTCTGACTCAAAGGTCACACTCTTTCCATTATGCTAATTAAATGACAGCAGTGACAGTCTGTGGTGAATAAAGGACCAGCTGGACGCCACAGCCAGCAGGGCCACCCTGGGCACAAGTGTTCACTTAACCAAAGAAACCCCGCGGCAAAGCACAGCTCCCTGCTTCCTAGTTAAATGATGTTACATGGTGACTTCTGGTCTCCCTTGCTAGCTTGCCACTGATTGTTTGCCCTGGTGCTTTCTCAGGGTCATTGGCCTATTTCAGAGTTTACACTGGATATAGAATATCAAGTTCTGAAGGTTAGCCATCCCATTTCTGTCCTTTATCTGTTATTTTATGAACCCAGTCTTTTTTATTTCCTTTTTAGTGACAGGAGCAAAAAAAAATTCCTTTGCTTTCCCTGGGAGGCATGTATGCTAATGCAAGCTAGAACAAAGCCCACCTGTGTTCAGAGACTTTGACATTGTCCCACTGGCTTATACCCCTGTTTAGGGGAAAGAGGCCCAGTTTCCATCCCAGAGACCAAGTTTGTCTACTCCTGCATGATCAGGGGCAGAAATTGCTCTTCTGTGGTTCCAGCCCATGAGTATACTTGAGATAGAAATATCCTACAGGGCCGGAGAGAAGGCTCAGCAATTAAGAGCACTAGCTGTTCTTGCAGAGGCCCTGGGTTCAATTCCCAGCACTCACAAGACAGCTCACAACTGTCTGTAACTCCAGTTGCAGGGGAGCCAACGCCCTTACGTAGACATGCGTACAGACAAAACACTAGTGCATATAAAATAAAAATTAATTTTAAAAAAGAAGTATCCTATGGAGTAAACCCGGGCTAATAAAAATACTGCAATATGGAGAGAAGAAGAAGCTATCTCTAATTTATAGCAAGGAAATTGGTGCCAGAAGGTGGCATAGTGAGTGGAAAGAACTGGGCGGCAGGAGGACTGGTTTCAACAACCACAGAATGAGATATTTATGAAAGCATTTTTGGAAGTTAGAATCATGACTCCTGATACTGAACAGTGACTTGAGGAATCAGGGATTTTAATGCCTAAATTGGGGAGCTAAGGCTCAGAGGTCCAGACAAACAGTTACAACTACCCATGACCAAGCCAGAATTGTGGCTCATACCTTCAGGTAAGAGAATGAGGCAAGGAAATAATGGATATGGCCTCTAGATATACCTACTGCTTGTAGTTAATACATCCCAGGTCATGCCTTTACCTATTAAGTTGAGGACACTGGTTAAAATAAGAATTGCATTGAATTCAGTTCTGGATATGTGTTTGGACTTTGAGTCTAAGGGAACCTGATGTTGATAAGATCCTTTCTAAGCTCTAGGATGAGAAGTGGTGTCTACCTCTTTGTTGATCAAGACTTACGCAGACCCATGTCTTTTCCAGGCATTGTTTAACTCTGACAGGACTCAAGATCCTACCAGACAATGCTTTGCTAACACCAAACTTCACATCTCTCCCAAGCAGGCATTGCTCAGCCATTGCCTCAGCAGACAGCAACTCCAATGTAGGAAAAAAAAATTCCATAGGACTGTCTCCATTTGCATGCTACAATCTTCAGGGAGCCCAGACCAGCTTCTTCCACAGTTGTTGCTACCCTTACAGGAGCAGCTCAGACTGGTCTTCAACCTGAGACACGCTCGTCTCACCTTCTCCAATGCTGGGATCCAGGTATGTGCCACCACGCCCAGCCCAGTAACTTTTTGTTTTGTTTTGTTTTGTTTTTAATCAGAGGCCTCACAAATGATGCAAAAGATCTTGCATGGAGTTGAAGCTGCCACTTATCTTGAAAATGCCACCCCTAACAGCTGTCTTCCCTCTGCTGTTCCATGCCCTCGCTTCCTAAAAACACCTGCATGTGGGTGGGTGGAGTGGGGATAATTACACAAAGTTCACATATTCCCTTTCCTTCGTGACTTAGAAGCCTTTAGCCAAATGGGTTTCCATAATGTAAGATATGCAGAAAGGGCACTGAGTGCTCATCTTGGACCAAATATGAATTATTAATGGTGTGTTTGCTAAATAATTCATCAAATTCAGTGTAGCTTAAGGATTTTAATTCAGACAAAATACAGATGTATCCACCCTTTTCCTGTCTTTCACATTACTTTCTTATTTGTTTAAACTTCTTTAGTAAGGTTTTAATGAAACAACCGCCAGTTTACCCACTCAACAATTAGCCATGCCAAGGATTTTTCTGGGTTTCTAGAGACAGAGCAGTGAACAAAAGAGACAAAGCCATTAATAAATGTTTATTGTACAAGGGATTTTGCTAGACATACAAAGATGTAGAGTTGTCCTGTTTCTGTCCTCAATGAGTAAAGCAGATGAAAGCAATGTAAGATCCAGAGACTCATAAACAGCAAAGGGGGCATGCAAATCAGAGAGGAGAGGAAATGTTTCAAAGGAAGGAGAAAAGAATTGACTGACTTGTGTTATATTGGGTAGGCAAATTACCAATGCTTGTGTACAGGCTTGATTTGGAAAATCTGCACAGAGTATGCAGACAGATGCTGATTAAATTGGGCAACTGATGAAGGCTTTGGGTATTGAATTTTCAATAAGCAAGTGAGTCATGGAAACACTCCTTTATGGTAATTTACATTGGAAATGTTGCTTTCCAAAGACAATCTATGGACTCAATTAAGCAGGGGGGTAATTCAGTAGATGGCCACCTTAAATCTACAAAAGCTGAAAACACTGGACTATAAATAAATTACCAGCCCTGCTTTCAGAAAACAACCAGTTCATCCATGTAAGAGGTTGGGGATTTGACACCAGCAAGCTCATGGAACTCAGGCTTAACTGGCAATCTATTTATGAGACGGTGCAAGATTAGATAAGGAGGGGAATAAGACGCAGGCCTGCTGTGTTGCGAAAATCTTGAGCATATCATTCATAGGAATTTCCTATGTGAGTGACGGCTATAGTGTAATGTAAGTGGTACCTCTGGATAAGTGCATCATAGCGCAGGGACCAGCAGTGAGGAATTCTGAGACCAGCACACTTAACTGAAGAATGGGTCACTGGGAATAGCTTAATGCAAATGTAATCTGGAGTCCAGATATGTTGAGTAGAGGTGGGCTTTTAATGAGATAGTATAAGGGCTATGTAATGTGGGCCCCCTACAAATAACTGAGGGTTCTTTCCAGACTCGTTTTGAAAGACTGGCTGTGTGCCGTACACGCAAATCATGGATACCTACCAAATCCAAAATATCTCCCAAACTATGCATTTTGAAAACTCAAATCTGGGTAACAGGTGTCAGTCAAGAGCTACCTGCTCCAAATGACACTGTGATAGCTTAGAGCAACTTTAGGTGTGGCCTTTTAGGAAATAAAGTAATTGAACGAGTTCAATTGTAATCACTTCAGAGACGCCCTAGAAAGAGGTCCGAGGCAGAGTGCTAGAGAGTCCCATCCGTGCCTCCAATCAGCTTCTACTTTTCTTAAAACAAGATACAAACTTGGCAAACTGCTTTCCTTAGTTGAAAAACTGGGAAGGAAGCTAGTGGTCCTTATTACAGGATTTGAAGGAAAATTAATTGGACAGTACATCAACAGTGCTAATCAGATTTTGTTACAATGTTGCTGTTCTAGAAATGTTAGGTGTTTTATGATCCTTGGTCTTCTCAAAGGCATTTGAGTCTAAATACATGAACATGTGACATTTAATCTTAGTCATCTACTTCTTTAGACTCAGAAGCACCAAGAGAACTAGCAGGGCACACACTTCAGGGGATGTCTGCAATGGGCTTCCAGAGACCATTGCATCATAAGGACTCTGATCTAACGAATGGACTAATCATTTATGGATTTATTGTAGATGGTATTATTGAGAGGTGGTGAAAGGTAGGAGGCTGGATGTAGCTGAAGGAAACAAGTCACTAGGGGCCTGTCTGTGGGGGCTGAATCTCACCCTGGCTCTTTGTTAGTATTCCTTTTCCTCTGCCTGCGGGCCACCATCCTGTGAGCTGTCCTTCTCTACCTGGCCCTGTCTGTCATGATGGGCTGACACGCCTGAAGCCGAGAGACAGGTAAATCTTCCCTGGTCTCACAGCTGCACAAAAACAACCAGTGCAACAATGTGAGTGTGGGTGCGCATCCAGATGTTCATGGACATGGAGGTCATGTGCACGCCCAAACCCAGGACATCCCCAAGATGCTCAGAAGCAAGCGAGTAATGAGAGAGCCAACTAAGAAGAGAAGTCACCTAGTCATCACCCTGGACTTGGTGTTCCTTACCTCAGTGCCCCAGTCTATATTTAAGTGAACGTTTCTTTCAATAAGGTATTTCATACTGTTTTTTAAAAAACACAGTTTTTCTATATTAAATTGCTGGAATGTATGTCAAGTCAATACACATCACGTGATTGCTGTGGATATCAGTCGATATAATTAAAGCACTGATTGGCCAGTGATCATGGTAACTGATACTCTATTCAGCCCTAAGGCTCAGTACCACCAAACCAAGGAATATGGAGGGTCACTCCCCATACCAAACGCAGTCTCAAATACCGCCTACTGCAATTTTGGAGTCTGTCTGTAGGTTTGCTGATGTTTGGCTTCTCTGTTTAGTATTCAGAAAACATTAAGATGCATGTTTCTGATAGCTGTGCACTCAGCTGAGTAGTTATTCCTGAACAAGGATTTTAACCATGCCTACTACAGTGTAATCGGGCTTTGCTATTTAGTGCCACTGAGCCTCATCTTTATTATTAAAAGTTTTCAATTATAGTATTTAAAACAGCTATCTTAACTCTGAAATGTTACATTGCTATTGTTCTTTAGCTAAAATATAGTATAATGGTTCTAAAAAAAAAAATTGCTTAAGGCAATGCTTCTCAACCTATGGGCTGTGACCCCCTTGGCAAAATTGTATCTCCCAAAATATTCACAATTCATTACAGTAGAAAAATTACAGTTATGAAGTAGCAATGAAAATAATTTTATAGTTGGGGGTCACCACAACATGAGGAACTGTATTAAAGGTTCACAGCATTAGGAAGGTTGAGAACCACTGGCTTAAAGGCATATGAAGAAAGGAGAACACACACACACACACACACACACACACACACACACACACACACACACACACACATACATACACACACACGCAAGGAAATTATCAGGCAAGGCAATTCTTAAAAAAGAACAAGAAATATTCAGATTTATTTCTAGGGGGTGAGGTTTGAGCTTCTGGCATGGTAGTGTCGGCATTGGAATTTCAGAGTTAGTGACCATAAACATGGAAGAAAAATGAAACAAAACAGGAGAATCGCACTGAGCGGGAGCTGGCAGGAAATGGCTAACGTTCCACCCAGGGAATCTCCAGTTAGAATGGTGCACAGGCTCAGAAGCAACATTGCACTGCAAGTGAGAGACTTTTCACAGAAATGTAATGTGCAAAAAGCTCCCTCGGAGACCCAGACAGTCAACCATGCGGAAGGCATTGCTCACAGGCGTGAAGGATGTCTGCGTGTTCTGGACCCGAAAGAGTAAGGATTTTAGGTCAAGGAAGGAGACACTAAAAGCAATGCTAAGGACCAAATAGAGTCCTACTTTAACCTCTAATATTAATATTAGCAATTTGTGAATATCTCAGGAAAAATGCTGTGTCTCTTTGCGCCACAAACCACAGCAGAGTTTTCTTGTGTTGTTTTAGATTTTAATTGCTTTGTGTATTCATAGACAGTAATACTGTCAACCTAGAAAAACTGCCTAATAGCAGCTGTATCAGAATTACAAGGGTTTCTTTTCTCTTTCTCCCTCATTCACTACTGAAGCACATTGGCTTACTTGCTGCAACCCCAGACCCTTTATCAGTATGTTTTGAAGCGAAAAGAGACTTCATCCCCTCAACTTTCTGTATGAACCAAAAGTAACAGCCACCACCACCCCCATCTTTCCTCAGTCCTTCAACTACCTCAGTTAATGCAAACTCAAAATAACTATTGGCTTTGACAGTCATTTTGTCACTGTCCTTGGCTTCAGCTGCACTAGAAACTCTCGTGTCTGACCCACCGAGATTGTGTTCTCTTCATAGACACCAAGAATCCTGCTATGGGGAGTCAACTCTGAGATTGTGTTTACCGAGCTGACAGAGCATGTCCGGGGCTCAGCCATCCATTTTTAAGGCTAAGCACCCTTTTTTTTAGCAAAGAGCCATGAAGGAGATTTGACCCAAAGGGACCAGAATGAAACTGCCTCTTATACAAGATGCATTGGAGTCTTTTTTTAAACATCTTCTTTCCTTCCTCTGAGTGAATCACAGTTATTTCAAAGAGAATTTGTCAAGTGGCTCCATAACTATTTCTGTTTGGCGCCTGTGCTCGGCTACTCTCATTATCTGTCTAGGCCGTGTTTCTTGGGTGAACGCATCTTTTTTAAAAAAATGCTGTGGTCTGTAGAGATAACGAGAGTCCTTACAGCCACTTCGATGGCGGGTCTCCCACCTCCGTTTCCAGCTATGTGCCTTCGAGAATGCTGCTTCATTTATTTCATGGCCTCAATTTCATCTCTGAAAAGAAAGAGAAGAAACTGCACTGGGTCTTTGAGAGAGCACTAAGCTGAAAAGTGGAGCGCTAAAATGCTATGTACTTTTCTGTAATTTAATTTAAAATCTACATAGACATCCCTAGTCTGCTGAGAGGCAGATATGTCACCAGTTTGGTGACCAACATCCAGCAACGTCCTCCGGGTCTCTCTGGTTTCCGGGGAAAGATTGTGCAGAGCTTAGCCACGGGCCTGGTGTAGACCAGTGGAGTCAAAGGGAAGAGAAGTGCCCAGCCTGAGCTCTGGGAAGGCTCACACCTGATGGTTTTGTGACTAATTATTGGGCCCATTAAGTCCCTGCTAACTTCCCTAGCACTGCTGGTTCAGGATCCGTGTGACTAGTGTCCTCTCTGAATGTTCCAGGGTCTTCTGCTGGTCCCTGTCACTCAATTTGTGGAACCCAGACAGGCAGGGCAACCCATAGCCTTGCACCAACCTCCCCTCCCCTGCTTCATGCTGACCTCATTTTTCGCTCCCATATCATGATGAGCAATGGAGATCCTCAGAGCTTTTCAGGTCCAAGACAGTAGACACTCCACACAGTTCATCCCCTCATGAAGTCCCATCTCCCCTGTCTCCAGTAAAATGTAGAGCCCTGGGTCCTCTCTGCTGATGGATCCTCCACCCTGGGATGAGAGCGCCTACTCATTCTTAGCTTTCTCTGAGGCTTTTGCCCCTTTGTCTCATTCCACCACCTTTTTCCTGTTCGAATAAGTCTTAAATGATGTCAGGCATGAGAAACACATCTGACTCACTTTGCATTTTCTCTGCTACGTCTCAAAACTTAAGATTCTGAAATTCTAAGACTTTCTCTTCTTCCAGTATACCATTTGTTAATGTTTATAAGGTAAAGCTACCCAAATAAGGAAGGATTGTAAGACCATTGGAAGTGCTGTGAGAGGAAGAAAGTATTTCAGAATTCCGCTTTTCTCTATCACTTTGAAATCATGTAGTGATAACCTCAGTAGCAGTGGTGAACTGTTGTGGGCTGCTTGCAAAAGCTCCTAATGGGAGACTATGGATAACTCTGGGTCCTCACAAGAAGTAAGTCAGAAAAACGAAAACTAAAACATGGAATTCTACAATTAGAAAACCTTCAAGGGTGACTAATTCTCTCTTTGTTTCCAAGCCTTTTCCACTAAGAATTCCCTGAAATTCTCTGTTTGAGGCAGCACTCTGATTCGAATGGTAATATGTACTGTCCATGCATGACTTCTTCTTCTTTTAGTTAATAAATCTGAAATTCAGGGTGAGGCTGGACCTACTGGTACCACACGTGAAGGAAATGCTGGCTGAATTGTGCTGCCCAGGAAGCCTGAGAGAAGGGGGTTTTCATTCCTGTCACACCTTGTGTGACCCCCATTCACACACGGACCACCCCGCGCTCTTTCATAGAAGACCCTGAGCAACAGGGAGGGACCTTCCTGCTCCTCTTGCACCATGTGGCCTTCTTTCTGGAGCTAAGTCTTCCCATAACCATTCCCTTGGCTCGGTCTCCAGTCCCTCTCTCCCCTGCCTTACTTTAGGGGACTGTCATTAAAGGCAGGGACATCTCCCATCCTGACTCATATTCCTACTGACCTGGATCCCAGGTCAGGGTTCATTCTTAATCCAGAAAATTGATTAAGTTGCTCCTCTTCTAGCACATGGCAGGCACCCTTCAGCTTCAGAATGATTTACTTAATAACCCCAGTTGCGGTGTACGATCTCTAACTCTCCGTGTCTTATCTCATCGCGTTTCTCAAGAATTCTCTTACCCTGGCCTTCTGCCTATCAAAATATTCATCACAACAATTTTTGTGGCTTTGCTTTTAACAGAGACACCTCCTTCCATGCACGCTTGCACAGCTGATGTCACTCAACTGGCTTCCAGCACGAGGATTCGTGATGCTGTAGGAAGAGGCATGACTTTTTAAAGTTTAATAAGTCTGAGCTCACAGCCTAAATTCTCTACAGCCGGCTTCCGTGATCACCACCCGCTATTTAACCTCTCCAAACTCATATTTCTTTATCTACAGATGATTGATAATGGTATCAACTGCACAACATTGTTTTGAGCCTTTCAAAACCACATCTGTTCTGGCCTCTCTGCTGCCTGTCATCTGGAATGAAGACGATGTAATGCTTTCAAAATTAGCTGTTTATTGGCAAGAACAGCGCTATAGAATGGGAAGCAGCCCAGAGTCCTCTATTCTAATCCCAGCTCTGCTTTAATTAGCTTGGTAGCCGGGGGAAATGTCTTCCGTTGGAGAAGTGGGTGGTGGGAAGAATTGATGTTTCAGATTCCTTATTTTTCCTTGCACGTGTAGGGGGTATGGGTGGCCTCTTGCCTCCCTTACACGGCTCACTCACTTTTGACCGTGGATGTGCACGCCAATATGGCTTCTGTCTCCCTTGCCGAGGAGAAGGGGTCATGGTTCTGCTCTGTTTCCCCATGTGTACATTCTCCTCCGTGGGATAAGACTGATGACTGAGTGAACTGACCTGCCTACTCCTAAAAACTCGATATCCAGAAGTTTGTCTGTTCACAGACACATAACATATTATACTATATTAGAATGTGTCAGCATGATATCCGTGCTACTTGGACTCCACCTGACTTGATCTTCATCTTATCTTTTTTTCAAATATTCAGAACTTGGAAAAGAAACAGAGAAAGAGTTCATCTGGACCTTTCTGGACTTCAAGCCAAGAGTTGACTATGGTCATTTCTCATTTGGAACTTGTGATCTGAGGGAGATAATGAATGTCTGTCTCTCCCATGGCGGTCCATGGAGATTGTTCAGCAAGGCAATGCTTTCAATTCCATATGGAGAGATGAGCTCACCTATTGAACTTTTATTTGCTTTACAGCAGAGAAAAAAAATGAAGGCATGCATTTTTTCCCCTACAGTTTCACATACACCTTGGTCAACAGAGGACTCAAAAGCCAGCCCAAAGAGTGTGTACCCTCTAATTAATTAAATTATTTACATGTCCCAATGTCTTAAAAGAACAGAGCTCTAGAAAAATTAATCTAGTCATAAGATATTCTCCTATAAAAGGACATGAGATTCGAGATAGTTATCGATCTTATTTCTCATCTGAACAGATAATTCACTGAGGCGTTATTGACAACTGAAGAGATAGAAGTTGTGGGTCCCAAGTCATAGTAGCTAAAACTAATAGCAGCCATGGGAAATAAAGTCTGAAGTTGTCCCCTTCCTTCATGCTTTATTCCGCTTGGCTCCTGTCATATGTGGTGACTTCTCCTCCTGCTGCATTCATCCTTCTTAGACTTTTCTTTCATTTCCTTTTGACCACCTCACCAGGGACAGCCTTTCCACACTCTGGAATTCTCACCTCCACCTCCACACTCTGCTATTAGTAGACTTTCTTTTTAATTAAATATATTTTAATTGATGCATAAAATAAACATACTATAGATTATTGTGTGATGTTTCAATGTATTCATGTTTAAAATTTAGTTTGGGAGCTTTTTGTTTTCTTTCTATTTTCCTTTTATTGAAAATAGGTTTTTTTTCTCATATAATATATCCTGATTACAGTTTGTCCTCCACCTACTCTTCCCAGTTCCTCCCTACCCATCCCATCTGATCCAAACCTTTTTCTGTCTCTCATTAGAAAACAAATAGGTTCCTACGGGATAATAATAAAATAAAATACAATATGATAATATATTTTTTAAAAAGCCTAATACATTGGAATAGTACAAAACAAACAGAAGGAAAGGAGACCAAGAAAAGGCACAGGAAAATGATATCAACTCAGAGACTAGACCCACTCATTCACACACTCAGAAATCCCATAACACTAAAATGGAAGCCATTATGTATACACAAAGAACCTGTAGCTCTAAAAGATATATATAACTATATATAAAAATATATAAAATAAGATATATATAGAGAGAATTATATAAGGTAAAATATCCTATATAATAAGATATGTATAAAATAAAATAAAATATCATATATATATTATAAGATAATTTTTTTAAAAAAGGAAAGGCCCTGAGATGGCATTATGAGATGAGGAATCTCCAAAGACACCACTGAGCTTGTTTTCTCTTGGCATCTACTGCTGGGCATGCATCCTACCCTCAAGAGTAGTTTGTTTCCCCAGCAAGACTCCCTTGAAGAAAACTCAATTTCTATCAGCAAGTGGCTCTCAATTGGAGACAGTTTCTGAGTTAGGAATGGGGGCATGTGTATATTTCCCCTTCCAGTTCTAGGACCCTATGTGATGCAGACCTATGCAGGCCCTGTGCATGCCGCCTCAGTCTCTGTGAGTTCATATAAGCAAATACATATCATATTTGTCTTTCTGTGTCTGGGTTACCTCACTCAGGATGATTTTTTTCTAGTACCATCCATTTACCTGAAAATTTCATTTCTTTAACAGTTGACTAATAGTACATTGTGTTAATGTACCACATTTTCTTTACTCATTCATCTGTTGAGGGACATTTAGGTTGTTCCCAATTTCTGGATATTATGAATAGAGCAGCAATGAACATGACTGAGCAAGTGTCTCTGTGGTAGGATGAAGTATCCTTTGGGTACATGCCCAAGAGTGGTATAGCTGGATCTTAAGATAGATCAAGTCCCATCTTCCTGAGGAACTGCCACACTGATTTCCATAGTGGCTGTACAAGTTTGCACTCCCACCAGCAATGAATGAGTGTTCATCTTATTCCACATCCTTGCCAGCATGAGCTGTCATTTGTTTTGTTGATCTTAGCCATTTTGAAGGGTATAAAGTGAAATCTCAAAGTAGTTTTGATTTTCATTACCTTGATAGCTAAGGATGTTGATTATTTTTTTAAGTGTTTCTCAGCCATTTGAGATTTCTCTTTTGAGAATTCTCTGTTTAGATCTGTAACCCATTTTTAAACTGTTTTGTTTTCTTCACATCTAGTTTTTGAGCTCTTTAAGTATTTTGGGTATTAGCCCTCTACTGGATGTGTAGTTGGTAAAAATCTTTTCCCATTCTGTAGGCAGCTGCTTTGTTCAAATGACAGTGTCCTTTGCCATGCAGCAGCTTTTCAGTTTCATGAGGTCTGGTTTATTAATTGTTAATAGCCTCCGCTATTGGTGTTCTGTTCAGAAAGTCTTTCCATGTTCCAATGAGTTCAAAGCTACTCCCCACTTTCTCTTCTATCAGGTTCAGTGTATCTGGTTTTATGTTGAGGTCTTTGATCCATTTGGACTTGAGTTTTGTGCAGGGTGATAAGTACGGATTTATTCACATTATTCTACAAGCAGCTGTCCAGTTTGACCAGCACCATTTATTGAAGATACTGTCTTTTTTCCAGTGTGTATTTCTGGCTTCTTTGTCAAAAATCAGGTGTTTGTAGGTGTGTGGATTTATGTCTGGGTCTTCAGTTTATTTCTATTGATCGGTGAGTCTGTTTGTGTGCCAATGCCATGCTGTTTTTATTACTATAGTTTTGGAGTACAACTTGAACTCAGGAATGATGAGAGCTCGAGTATTCTTATTGTTCAGATTTTTTTTTTAGCTATCCTAGGTTTTGTGTGTGTGTGTGTGTGTGTGTGTGTGTGTGTGTGTGTGTGTGTGTGTGTGTTTACATATGAAGCTGAAAATTGTCCTTTCAAGATCTGTGAAGAATTGTATTGGAATTTTGATAGAGATTGCATTGAATCTGTAGATTGCCTTTAGTAGGATGGCCATTTTTACTGTATCAGTGCTACCAATCCATGAGCATGGATGATCTTTTCATCTTCTGATATCTTCTTTAATTTCTTTCTTTGACATTGTAAAGTTTTTATCATCCAAGTCTTTCACTTGCATGGTTAGAGTCACCCTAAGATATTTTATGATGTTTGAGGCTATTGTGAAAGGTACTGTTTCCCTGATTTCTTCTCAACCCATTTGTCATTTGTATATAGGAGGGCCACTACTTTTTTGTTTGTTTTTGTTTTGGGGTGTGTGTGTGTGTGTGTGTGTGTGTGTGTGTGTGTGTGTGTGTGTGTTAATTTTATATCCTGCTTCTTTGCTGAAAGTATCAACTGTAGGACTTTCCTGGGTTTTGTTTTTAATCATGTATACACATGTGTGTCTGTGTGTGGGTATGTGTACATGAGTGTAGTTACCCACAGAGACCAGAAGGGGACATGATATCCCCTGGAGCTGGAGTTACAGGCAACTGTGAACTGCCTACGCTGAGTGCCGGGAACCAAACTCAGGTCCTCTGAAAAAGCCCCAAGGTATGTGTGTTGATTAAATCTACCTCCTCTGACATTTATCAATTGGTTATCTTTTCTTACAGCTTTTTGAAATATACAGTATATTTCACACAGGGTCCACTTACTCACATCTAACTGTAACTTTGTACCCACTGATCAATCTCTCCTCCTCCTTTTTTATCCTTAATCTCCCCTACTCAGCCTCTCAGCACCTCTCAGCTCCTATGAGATCAATATTTTCTATTCCAAATAGAAACACAATTAAGTAGCACTTATCCTCCTGTGCCCAGCTTCCTTCACTTGACATAAGGATCTCTGGTTCCCTCCATGTTGACACAAATGGCAGCATTTCATTGTTGTGTGACTGAATAGTGTTCTGTGTGTATAAGTACCATGTTGTCTCTGCCGATGGCCATTTCAGTTGTTTCTTTTTTCTTTTTTTTTCCCTTTTGTTTGTGGGCGGGGGGGTGTTTCAAGACAGGGTTTCTCTGTGTATCCCTGGCTGTCCTGGAACTCTCTCTGTAGACCAGACTGGCCTTGAACTCACGGAGATCCGCCTGCCTCAGACTCCCGAGTGCTGGGATTAAAGGCATGTGCCACTATTGCCCAGCTGTTGTTTCTATTTTTTAACTCATGGGAATAGTTTGTCAATGAACATGAAGTGAAGATTTCTCTTCTGGTGGTGAGATATATAGACCTTCTTCTGCGTGTCTTGTTTGAAAAATGTCTCTTTCAAGTCAATTTCCCAGTTTTAAAAATCAAGCTATTCTTCTTTTTTTCCTTTTTTGCTATTGAAGTTTTTAAAGCCCTTTCTATTTCCTGGGTATTACATTATCACCAGATGTTTAGTTTGCTGATGCTTTCTCCCACCATGCAGGTTGTCTGTTCTCTCGGTTGGCTTTTTTCCTTCACAGTGCACAAACATTTTAGTTTTAGTTTGACAAAATCCTTGTCTGTTTTTCATTTCGTTTCCTGCCCTATTACGTCTTACTCAAAACATATTATTCAATAATAGACAGTCATTTCTTTGTCATAGGTCCTTGCACTTTGGTCAAAAATCGGTTGGCTCTAGTTCCATGGTTTATATGTAGACTCTCTGCTGATTTATGGATGTGTATTTGTTTATCTGCCAGCAACTCACTGACTCAATCACTACAGCCTTGTTGTTTTTGCTCTAGATGGTTTTGGCTGTTTGGCTGTTTTTGTGGCTCCATACAAATTTTTTGATTTTTTTTATAGTTCTGTGAAAAATATCATTGGCATTTTGATATGGATTGAAGCAAATCTGCTAGGCAACTGTTCCGCCACTGAGCTGCATCCCCAGCTTTCATTAAATTTGTAGATTGCTTTGGGTAGCAGGGACCTTTTACGAATATTGATTCTTCTACATCATAAACACAGGATGTTTTTTCATTTGTTTGTGTCGTCTTCGGTTTCTTTCACTAATGTCCTGCATTTTCATAAGAACTGTCATCTCATTGGTTAAATTTATTCCTAAGTGTTTTTTAACTGTTGCAAATGAGATTGCTTTCTTGATTTCTCTTTCAGACGTGTCACTGCTAGCAACACTACTGATAATTTTTATGCTGATTTTATATGCTGAAACTTTGCTGACTTTATTAATTCTGCCAGGCTTCCTTTGAGTCTTTGTGGTTGTTGATAGATCAGATGTGTCATCTGATGACTGCTTGACCTCCTCTTTTCTAGTTTGGGAGCTTTTTATTTCTGAATG